CTCCCAAACCATTTAGTATATTACCATGAAAATTTGACACAAGTAATATAAGTAAGTTATCTACAACTTTGTTAATAACAAGTTTCACAGAAAATGTAATTGTCATCATGAATTTATCAATACAACAGAAACTACTCCTAGAGCCATCTAGCGAAATTATAAAGCAATAATTAAGTAGCTGCTTATAACCAATCAACTTCAAGCACAACTACCATTATCAGCAGATCATATGCATCACAAGGACTACAGAAAACATTATGTTTATGCCAAACTAATGTATTTAGATACTTTTATTAATTTCTTTATATAATAAGGTGATTTATGAGATAAATATTTCTAGTGATCCATAAATTCTAAGAAAATTACAGTAGCATACATATGATCCCAAAAGTCTACTGTGCAAATTTCATGCCAATTGGATAAGTATAGCCCTCTATACAAAAATGACAAGTTGCTTAGGTTTATTTTAGCAAAAATAGTTTAGCCTATTGAAAAGTGTCAAGCAACGGATTTCATATTTTTCTTAGCTTCCCAAAAACCCATTAACACTTTACAAAAATTTGCATGGCAATATGTTACTTATTGTTATCCTTATGATTTTCCTCAGAAAACACCATTTATTAAAAGATAAATAGAAAGACCCTACTCCAATCAAGTTTACTACAAGTTTAGTATTTTTCCTAGCTAGACCATGTCAATACAAACTCAACAAAATTTGAATCACAATTTTTGCACATACCAAGCTCAAGTTATGCATTTTTCAAGATAGAAACCATTTAGAAAGCATTTAACTAGCTCCATTTTATTCTCCTAGAAAAATACCAGTAACAGTGCATTGCATATTTTTATCAAATACTACACTTCATGATGAATCCAACAAAATTTTGTTCACCCTATTTGGACACTCCTAGCTCTAGATATGAATTTTTGAAACATACATTCAAATATATGAAAACAAATAAGAAATCAATCACTACACAGACTGACAGATGGGGCCCACTGGTCAGTAGGACCCAGGTGTCAGCGATACCAGAGCAGAGGAGGTGCTCCGGCCAGTGTTATCTTGCCGACGGTAAGATCACCGATGATGACAGTGACAACAAAGTGTTCCCCGTGATCTCCTGCACCCAGTGGTACCCTTCGATGGACCGGTGGTGCACTGGAGCACCCTCGCTGGTGGCGATGGCGGCATGACAAAGCTGTGTAGTGGCGCGCCGGCCATCTCCGACCATGGCATGTGCCGGTGAGGACGGCTACTCCATCCTGGTGGCCTGGCGCAGCACTATGACGAGGATTAGGCCATAGTGACGCAGTGGAAAAGCTTGGCTGCGTGCATGGCCAAGCGGCGGCGCACGGTGCGTTGTGGTGGGGCTCTCCGTTTCGGCTAGCCGAGTCTCCGTCTAGCCTACTGGATCTAGGTCACAAGGCCGTGCAGAGACGACTAAGAGCGGGGACTGGAGTGACCCCAAGACGGCTGGCCATGGTGAGTTCAAGCTCACGGCCATGGCCGCCACGGCAGGAGCGGCGGTGTGTTCCCGCACGACCGTGCAGTAATGTCTAACCTAGTTCCTGCCTAAGCATATGGACCACAAAGCGGCTATGGTGTAATGGCGTGGGTACGGTGAGCCGAGCTCGCGGTGGCGCTCCGGTGATGGCGCGGTGGTGGCGAAGCAAAATGCGCCCTTACCCTGGCTCGGCATGTGGGGCTAGCGGGTCGGGGTGGAAGAGGTGACGATGGCGGAGCTGCTGGCGAGCTGGATTGGGCGGTGGTGCAACGATGGCGGCGAGCGGGCACGGCAGAGCGACGGCGATGGCACGGTGGCGCGGTGCTCCTCTTTGCTCTGGCGTGGCCGAGAGAGAGCGGGGTGCGAGGGTGAAATGGAGCGAGCAGCAGAGGCGCGTGCCTTATCCCTCCGCGCTGGCCTGATCGGCCAAGCTGGCACTAGCGTATGGCCGCCACGCGGCACACCTGGCTTGCCCCCGGTCGGCCACTGACACCAGCGTCGAAACAGCATCAGGCCCTGATGAACACGACTGACAGAGCGATTTCACGTGATCGTTACTCCTAAACCGTTCGTCCTTTGCAAAAACTTCTTTAACAAGAATTGTAAAGCTACACGAGATCTACAACTTTGATTAAATGAGTTCAGTCTAGATCGGCCTAGTTTACAAACTACAGCGCGTCAAACACAGGTTCATTGAAATGGTAAACCAGCTCAAGACAGAAAATTTTAAAAGTCAAGAACAGTAATTCTATTGCTACTTGTGGACTGTTTTTTGAGCATGCAATGCACCGAATTAGGTCTTGACCCAAAAATAAAAGTTGTTACTCAAGTCAAGTACTACAACTTTGCTTAAGGGTGCACTGCCACGCAAACACTCTATGCTATAGTTCAACTTAGGTCAATCATGCAATTTGAAAATGATAACTTACACTATAACCATGACTTAGAGGTCAAATTGGTCTAAGTCATGAATACCAAAGTTGTTCCAAATGACATTCTAAACATGTTAAAGGTACTCCTAGGGTCCCACAAACATTTTATACATTGGTCACATGCAAACCCTAGCATATGTAAAGCATTGAGTAACAAACACATGTGATATAAGCAATCATAGAGATAAACTTTGAGCTGCTCATGCTCATGAATGATCAATGACGCTTGTGCTCATGCAATGCCAATGCCAAATGCATGCTTAACACCTAGGGTGTTACACTGAAGACCCACCGGGAATCTCCAATGGTGATGGGAAGGAGCGTATCAGAAAATAAGGTTCAACCTAGAGTTCTACAGAGAAGACCAAGAGCCTCAAAATGGCACATGCATGACCTCAGGAGAAAAGGGTTCTCCAATGTTGTCTAAGGACAAACTGACATCTTCGAAGTGCCACTGGAAACTCCCATGATGGCACCGAAAATGGCACCGAAGAAATGGTTGCCTAACGATCTTAGCTAACGGCTAGTCTCCGGAGAGGCACCAAAAACCTTAACTGACCCCACCAGTACTTTTGGTGAGTACATAGCTTCCCAATGGCTAGTTTCAAGTGGGAAGGCTATATATACCCCCCTCCCCACCCCACAAGCAGCCATTTAAGGTGTGTGGGAGTTGAGGAACATACCAAGAAAGTTAAGGCTCCACTATAGTACTCTTTGTCACCATAGTGCTTAGTGAAATCACTCGGTGATTAGTGTAGGTATTTTTTGCGAAGTGTTTAGGCTAGTTAGCCCACCGCTAAAAGCGCTTTCTCTAGGTTTAGCCCTAGTGTTAGTGGGGTTTGTATGCCTCTTGCTACTCGATGCTTGCGTGCACCACTACTTGTACACTAGGGGCTTATAGTCTTGCGAGACCATTCGGGTTGCAAAGTGGTCGCTGAGCGTGACCAGAAGCACTCCGTACGAAAGCATGTAGAGTGAGAGATATGCACCAAATGACCCCTTATAATTTGATAGGGAGAGAGCAAGGGGGTGGGTGGCTGCGCTTGTACGGTAGCTTTACCCAGTAACTTCTCCACTCCACCAACCAAACGCCTCCAAAGGCTCTAGCTTTGCAATAGAAGCCCCTTGAGAGAAGGTGGGAAGGGAGACGAAGCCAAAAAATATAGCTTCACCCCGCTCCTTCTCAGATCTACAGACCTTGGACGGATTTGCCCCAGCATGGACACATGCATGTGCAAGGAAGGGCTCTTTCACGAGCTTGAGTAGAAGTGATGAGCATGGAGGAGAGCCGAACTAGGGGAACTAGTGAGCATGGAGGAGCATTGCCACAACCATTAACGCGAGGCGTGGAGCATGGAGGAGATTTCTTCCACGTGGAAAGCGAAGGGAACATAGGCGTGAGCCACGTGGGCCTAAGGGACGCAAGGAGGCTTCAGCGTGGAAAAACGAAGGAAGCAGGTGTGTCGACAGTGTGGGCTGCCAAAGGGCGAAAAAATTTGACGCAGGGGAGACTGGCACGGGGCAGACTAGCCCAGGGGAAAGGCCGGGATCCTGTCAGGAATCTAGGCTGCCAAAGTACCCCTAAAAGGTAAGAACAAAGAAGGGAAGGGAAAAAATAAGCAAGAAAGAAGGGTACTAAGGAAAAAAAGATTAAGCATTTTGTCTTTTTTATCCACCACGGGGCTGTTTAAACAAAACAGCTTCACTCTGCCCACGAAGCTACTTGTGAAGCTGAAGTAAAAAAAAAAACCTGCTCCACCAATGAAGCGGGCCTAAGCAGAGTAATATGTTCCGGCTCGTGGCATGCTGTGTATCTTGGTGTTCAGCCGGACTCCTGCTATTGTGCGTTCTTTGCTCTTATATTAGACACGAATTCCGGTTTGAGTTAAAAATATACATAGATCTATTTTCCCCGCAAAATAACAGCAATCTGAGGACAAAAATAGAAGTGCTCAGGACATTGAGGCCCTGTTTGGTTGAGCTGTGGCTGTGGGAAAAAGCTGCTGTGGGCTGTGAGCTGTGGAAAAGCTGCTGTGGGCTATGAGCTGTAGAAAAGCTGAAAGCTGTTTGGTTAAACAAGTATAAAATATACCTTTTATCTTTATCTCTCTTGAAACAACTATGGAAGAGCTTTTTATTCCACCAATTTCGAAAAGCAGAAAGCCAAAAGCTAAAAGCAGGGTCAACCCAGCTTTCAAAAATGAACTACAAAAAAACAGCTGCTTCTTAAAAAGCACCCTCCAAAAGCAACCCCTTTGGTTGGGCTTTTGGCTTTTGGGGCCAAAAGTCAAAGCCAAAAGACCAACCAAACAGGGCCTAAACTTCGCTGATCCACCAATCTAATAAAGTTGCCACCTATATTACAGTCTCTGGTCGCTGTCATGTATGTACACTGGATTGTGAGTATCTGACGGTGACTACCGAATGAATATCATGCCCCTCTAGCCTGTGTAAGAGAGCCCGTGGTTCGCTACAAGGTTAAGGGAGTATAACTAAACCTGTTGTAGTGATGCAAGTAAATAATTACAGTGGAGAATATCAAGGCCAATCGTCCTTGGCATTGTTATATTTGCAAATCATCCAGCGACAGCTCCTCGGTTGATAACATCTTCAATTTCTGCACAGCGAGACACAACAAGTTACCAAGTATGACTAATGAACACAAGAAAGACTCCAAAAATTAGCCGACGAACTTACAGTGATGAACTGCGGTGGGTCATCGAGACTAGAGGAGCCAAGGATAATTTCTCTCTTCAGTTTGCCTGACAGCTTGTGGGCAACACGCAACTGTAGAAGTCGTGTTCACAGAGGACACAGACTGAGTTAGAAACAAAAAATTCATCATTTCTGTGTTGATTGGTTTTAAGTAGACGTACCTCAGACCGAGTAGCACCCCCAATTACAAAGATAAATAAGCGCTGGCCCAACTTTCTGAAGTCACTTGATGCATGCTTCAGTACAGAGTCACTGTAAAAATCCACATTGGTCATCAGTAGAGTGTAAACTTTACAGATACTTTCCAACCAATTGTCTGACCGAAGAGGGTCGAATAGTTATTTAAAATACATTTTTTGAATATCTGCAATTTTCTTCAGATATCAAATACAAATACGGATAGTTTTTAAGATACCAAACACAAATACAACTTAACCATTGTCCATCAAATATCTGATTTAGTCGGATATATCCTCTGTAAGATGGCAAACCGAGCAAACCAAGGGTGGCTAGACTAAAAAAAAAGGGCAGACCCAGTGCCGGAGGCTCCCACATGAGGGGTCTGGGGAAGAGAAAAACCGAGGCAAGCCTTCCCCCCGCAAATCTGCGGAGAGGCTGCTTCGAACCCACGACCTGGTGACTCAGTGAGACAGCTCTCACCACTGCACCAGGCCTGCCCTTCCCGCCTAAATTAGAGCAAACCAAGGGTGGCTAGACTAAGTGTGATAAACCTCTGTAAGCTGGCAAACCGAGCATGAGTATTTTGCTCAATATAAAGCAGGGCTGAAGTGCCTTCGGTCCAAAAAGGGGGGAAACTTTGAATTAAATTTTTGCTGTCCAATCCATAGCTGATCTTAATTTAAAGGAAAATTAACATTGTGAAGCGCACAATTTTATATTAGTCATATTTTTGCTGCAAATGTAAATTGGTAACCAACAGACAACAGAACTGAAGTGCCTCGAGAAAACTGCAAAATGGCTTCTGTGCTACTTTGTAACCAAAAAAGGCTCAACTATTGTGACTTGGGTACAGGGGGTTTCAATTTTGGCGAGAGCCCTCCATGGACTTCCTAAAAGAGTTCCGCTTTTGCAAATCAAAGTCATATATACACCCTCTGTTCCAAACTATAAGTCGTTTTGACTGTTTTAAGTTAAATTGTCTGACTTTAACCAAGGTTATAGAAAATATATTAACATCTACATGTCAAATGAATCCACCATCAAATGTATTTCATGGTGTATCTAATGAACATAGTTTGATGTAGTAGATGTTTGTGCATTTTTCTATAAACTTGGTCAAAATTAGAGAAGTATGACTTAGGACAAAGCAAAAATCAACTTACAATTTGGAATGTACTTTTTATTGGAAGCGCAAGACACTGTTAATGTATAGATACAACAGCAAACAACTGGAGAAGATAATGTTTCACACATCTAAGTTGCACAAACCTGAATTCCCATCAGACAACAGAAAACAAGTTACCTTGCCCACGTCCATCAGGACATCAGGACACTGAGCACAGAACTCAAATGCATGGTTGACAGATACAAAAGAAGGCTAACCAGGTTGCCTTTACTAACCTCGAATAACCATCATCAGAGTTCCGAGGTCTAGCCCATGTGCCACCTATTCGTCTAGATCTCATGGATTGGGCTGGCTGATGAGCTGGGCTCGTTCGAGCAGATGTGCTTCCTGGAATTCCACGGAAACTAGGACTAGGATCATTCATGCAGTGGTACTCATCCTTTGGTAGCTCACCCTTGCTAAGTTTCTCAATCAAGTCCTACAGACAAAGCAAAAGATGCACCCGTAAATACAGAAGAAAATGAGTAACAACTAAACAGAGCAAGAGGACATGATTTTCCACTATCAGTGCAAATACTGATTTAACAGTTAAGTTGCAAGAACGGCCGACCTTACAGCAACCAGCTCAATATAGAAAACTTGCTTACAGAAGCCAGCTAGACATAAAACAGTTGCATGCTTATGGTCATCCATACTGCAGGGACCATATCATCCAAACTGCATAAACTATGTTGAAACTAAGAAAATGCTCTGATTTTTCAATAAAATTGAAGTGCTTAAAGGTTGAACTTTTCCCTTTAAGTCTTAGACTACAGAGATCGCATGGAATAGGAATGTCCTACTCGCATGACAGCACAAGAATGATGGGAGAAAAGACTGGTGCCTGATATAGCTGAAACCAATGGACCAATCACCAATGTTGAGGTTAATTGAGCTAATCATTTGATTGGCCTCAGTGAATGAAGATAGGTATTGGACAGTCGTATCAAAGGATACACACACCTCCAGAATAGAACACAAGAAGTGATACTCTGTGCACTAAAACGTGCAAAGTAGTTAACAAATAAAGATGACTAAAATAGCACAGTACATTTTCGACACACAAAAATATCATGCCATCAACAATTAGAGGGAACTTTTTTGTAAAAAAAAAAATTTCCATTACGTTAAGTATATTGAGATGACTACTTAGACTGTAAGTTTTGAATTTTCTGCACCTCCAGGATGGGATAAAATCGAGATAGCATCCATGTTGACTCTTCCCCAATCCGCTCCTTTCTGATACCAGGCTTTTTCTGATAGTCATGTAAAAGTTTTAAAACTTTGAAGCCACTGAGAAGTTAAAATTTTCAAAAAATAAATTGATATAAAAGTTTCAGAATCTAATTACCTTCTGAAGATCAAATTTCAAAGTAAAGGCCCCAACTGAAGACTTTTTAGTATCAGGTCCACGTAAGCAGCGCATATTATTTACTACAATCATGTCATCAGCAGATAATCCTGCAAGCTGTCAAAGAAAATGATCATCAACAGCAACCACAATGAAGCCTGTTGTCCCACACAGACCAAAGGGGGGAAGTAAAAATGTAACAAAAAAGCAATATAGTAAAGAGAAGTTGTAGCTCTCAATGGGATCTAAAACTTTGTAATTGACAACTTTTTATTTGAAATCATTTACAGGCCCAAATATTTGTTTTAAGCTATCAAATTTTGAAATGCAAATTTTAGAATTTTTCAAACGATCACTGATGTCACCGAAGTTGTAGCTCTCAATACTATCTACAACTTTGTAGTTGACGACTTTTTTTATTAGAGATTGTTTAGAGGCCCAAATGTTCTTTTCATGTTCTCAGAATTTGAAATTTGAAATTTAAATTTTGCACTTTCCAAACGACATTGGATATTGACATGGTCTATACCAAAGTTCCTCTCAACGCGATCCACAACTTTGTGGTTGACAACTTTTAGATTTGAGCAATGTTTTCAGGTCGTCCGATTAATCGCGATTAGTCGTCCTGGTCGATCCCTGGTATTCAATTAGGAGGACCGACTCGATTAGCTCGACCAGAAAGCTGGTCGTCCGATTAGTCGACGACTAATCCGACTAGGATAGGGACGACCGATTTGGTTACTCTGTTTTTGGGCCTGTTTAACTGGGCGGACATGTGGGACTATTGAATGTCAATGTTTGTGACTTTGTGTTGAACACATTAGCTTATCTGTACTGAACTAATTTGGTTATGTAATATGCTGGCTGTGTAGCTGCTATGGTTTGCTAAATGTTAGTTATTTTGCTACTGCAGCAGTGCTGCTGTTCAGGTGCGTCAAGATCAAGACTGCATTAGTGTCACCAGCTAAACACTAATGCAGTCTTGATGCTTGCTTTATTGTGTATACTATATAGTATATATAGAGGTACAGATATAGGTATATGTCCTGATATACATGGACGACTAATCGGCCTGGTCAATGACTAATCGTGATTAGTCTCCTAGTCAGTCCCATGGCGACCAGGTTTGACCAGACGACCTGAAAACATTGGATTTGAGATCGTTTAGAGGCCCAAATATACGTTTTAATTTTTATATTTTAAAATTGAAATTATTGATTTTTTCAGATGACCTCGGATGTAGACACATTCTATACCAAATTTGTAGAGCTCGATGAGCTCAAAAACTTTTTGAGTTAAGATTGTTTTCATTTCAGGTCTTTTAGGAGCCCCAACATTCAATAAAAGATGACATGGCTAAAACCAGTGACATGTGGGGCTCAATATAAGGCTTGAAGGAAGTCGTGCTGTACTTCCACAAGGACTTGGAAGCGGTCAACAAGGATGAACATCAGCTCATTCCATATACAGGATGATTCTGTGTCTACAGTTTGTTTCAGCCTGCGTGCTGCTGGAGCCTCTGGCTTGTACTTTGTGGTTGCTTTTTGTGGATGTATTTTGCTGGACGATGCTGGTTCTGGTCACGTGTGGGCGGATCCCTTGGTGATCTGTCACATGGTGGTGTTTTTTGCTTTAGAGGTTTGGGATGCTGAAGTATCGAACTTTTGTAATTTCGTTGCGCAAGTAATGAAATTCGGTATTAGCGTTGTGAAAAAAAATGTGGGGCTCAATATGCCACTTATGCACCACATCAACAAACCACCTTCGAAACCACACTGAACTCTTCTTTTTGTGTTTGTGTGTTGGGGGCGGGGGGAGGATTTGTCCGGTTTTAAGAATTATTGTTATCTAGTATTTGAGTTCAGGGGGGGGGCAAGACAGACTTTGACTCTATAGTAAATGGCCACTTTATGATTTTATTGTATAGCATTAAATAATCTGAAGCCTCCAATCTGTGACTAGCTGTTGTAACTTTACTGGAGAAAAACAATAGACAATACTTGTGACCGGGAAGACTATAACTTTATACAGACTGTAACTTACTTTTTTTTTGAACAAACCGACAGTGACACTGTCTGTTTCTATTGATATAGTAGAGATTACAAGCAGATAGCCCTCGGAGACTATCTACATGAAAAACAACAGAGCAACAGGGATCCCAAAAGGATCACCACAAACTATAACTTTATACTGGTCACCACTCATGGAAATCTGGCTAAATTGTTTTCGAACAAACATATTAGAGGTGCTTCCTCCATTTTCTCATATTTGACAATATTTTGAACAAAAGTTTAATTCATGTATGACTATTACCTAACTATTCCCAAGGCATGTTTTCCTAATTCAAGTCACCCTTTCACTTTTCAATTCACTAGTTGTGCCTAAAATATAATTAAAGGGCATTTTAGGCATATTCTTGGCAGTTTGTCTGTTATGGCAAGTAGAGCCGGAGCCAGCCCAGGGCCCACGCGGTACTGTAGCGACGCGGTAATGTAGCACGTGATTAGATTAGATTAGATTGTTTGGTTTGTTAGGAAAGAGATATGTGGTTTGGTTTGTTAGGAAAGATATATGTTAGATTGATTCGGTTAGGATATTTCCTTAGGGGTCAAGTCAGTCATCTCTATAAAAGAGAACCCTGTATCAGTTATAGTCAAGCAAGAAGCAACAATTAAGTTGCTGGCTTCCGTTAGTGCCTCTCCCTCTCAATCCTAGCAGCCACATAACAGTGTCAGTTCCTTAAAGTAGAAGGGCGTGCCTTTGTCAAAAGCACCTACAAGTTAAATGGTCCAATTAAGCAAATGATGCTTTATTTTTCAAAGTACTATCCACACATATAACTTTCAGGTGGGCATTCTAGATAACTACAAAGACCTCTTCATGAACGGCTGGCAATCATAGCTTCTACAGCTATACTGCTAAACAGACAGGGTTTAAATTACATGTATTGAAATGATTTTAGCTACTAACCTAGAGCCAAGATAACAAACACACAATTTTAAAAAGGAAAAACAACTTTGTTCACTCAGAATTCTAACCTGGCAGTGTTGGTTTACCATATATTTTGGCCCTAATGTTCAAAAAACTATCCATTGTAATAATAATAGTATCAACCTCATAATGCTCATACTTTATTTTTCAATGTTGGTTTGCATTCCATGCATTGTGGAGACTATATTTTATTCACCAAACGAATTGGATTGCTTTGGTTTGCTCATGTTACCAGTCATGCTACCACAGAAAAATTGGATGCACCAAAGCAATCTTTTATTCAGGGGATCGTATTTTGAGAAGTACTTCACAACATCTCAGCAACTAACTGATTAGATGAAGGGAGTAAGACACAAAACCATTCAACAGTACATAACACCACTTATATAAAGATATAATACTGCTAGAGACATTGGAGAAAATATGCTCAAGTCGGCAAAAATAAATGCTTGTACTTCTGAAGATGACACACAAAATGAACTCATAGTGAAATAATAAAAGTATGAAACCAAAGTTACCTGCATCAGCTTTGCACCTTTCTCACTTTCGAAAAACTTCTCTGGGTTGATGGAAGCATAAATCATCAGCAAACGCAGCTTATTTTCACGACTTACATCCTGCATTAGTTAAGCAAAATATTTTAAGCGGTGTAGAGACAAGTGCAGTATCTTATATGCTGTAGTTCAAACAACAATTACCATGCGGGTTCGTAAGAAACTGATTAGTTCTTTTGTCCCAGCATCACCAAACACAAGATCTTGCTCTAGCTGTCCAACATCTTTGAGGTATTGTTCTTTGATTATATTATTAAGCTTTCCTGCAATCTGTAGTAACATGAAGCGATAAATATTGTATTTTGTGTCATACTGCTATTCTCTTCCTAGAAAACACCAGAATATGATTTCTTCCTCTAGTAAGTGTTATTCAAAATGCTGATTCATGTGGACATGTTCCCCACCCCAAATGAATGAATCCAAATGTAATCCGATGGCCCACATGGTGAGTAAGCAAGAGTAGCTGTTAAATGTGTTTGCATATCTACTCCTATCAAATCAAACTCTGCCCCATTGTAGAGTGCACCATGCAACGAAAACTATGCAAGTGTTTCTTGTAGAATTATCAACATTTGTATATTGATATCTGAACTACAGAATTTCCAAGGAGCCGAAAGCAAAAAAAAATGATGGGCTAAAGGCGGTCACTATAATATATCAACAGACAATTCTACTGAAGCAGATATAACAGTTATAAGAAATAGTCTTTGTTGAGTTTGCAGACGCATGTCATCTAACCTCAACATGAAGGGTGAGCTTGTCAATTTGATCACTGTATTGTGGAAGAGCTTGAACCATTTTCTGCAACTGCTTGGTAGATAACTCCCCACCAGATCTGACACCCAAAATAGATCCTATGAATAAATGTTAACCATATTCATTGACACAGCTACCAAGTAACTAATACCTTAGCTAACAGCATTGCTTGCCCCTTTAGTTACTTTTTAGACATAACTGGCAACAGCAATTCATAGGGACACTTAGCAGAACCACCTCTGTAAAGTATTTATAGTTTTCTAGTGTACAGAGAGTTTTTTTTTCCACAACAGGGAAGCCTGAATTTTATTATTTCATAGCAACGAAATTACAAGCAAATTTAACCATTTCGAAAACCACCAAATTTAAAGATTGCACACACATCTAAGCACCCAGGGCTTAGTCTAAAGGGAAAGGGTAGACCCAGTGCCGGAGGCTCCCACATGAGTGGGGTCTGGGGAAGGGAAAAACCGAGGCAAGCCTTCCCCCCGCAAATCTGCGGAGAGGCTGCTTCGAACCCACGACCTGGTGACTCAGTGAGACAGCTCTCACCACTGCACCAGGCCTGCCCTTCACCACCCAGGGCTTAGTCTGTGCAGCAAAAAACGCTCTGCTGATAAGACAGAACAACAGAACTGTCCATAGTACGAACAGCGGTAAAAATTATTCTAACAATTGCAAAAAAATACCCTTCAGCTAACACTCAATTACCCCTCTAATCTGCAAAAGTTGCATTTCCTGAACAAACCTTGCCTGCTGTAGTTGAGCTGCTTTGTTCTTTGATACAAAACTGGTCATCTTTTCATGCAGCCTTTCATTAGCCTAAAATGTTGATTTCATCATTAAGTCAACAAAGCATATGACTATAGTTAAAGATGAAAGTGGAAACAATCTTACATCAGCTATATGCGCATGCCGCAGCTCAAGCCATACTGGATCATGATCCTCCAACAAAACCTCCTTTTTCTCATTTGCTGAACCATTCTTACTTGGAACCTATTGTTTGAGGGTGCCATGAATTTTAAGAGTCATGCATAAAAACATAGCAAGAACTGAATAAGGTAAACTAGTGAGGTACAGTGTAAGACTGTATGCTGCTGTTGTACTCACCTCTTGCACATACTTGTTGCCATCCATACACAGTAGATCATGGCACATAGCATCGTATGTCCACTCATGAATAATTGGTGCAATCTGCAGTGCTCAAGAGAACATGATATCAAAGGATGCACCAGCAATATGGAAATGTGTAAACTGGAATTCACTTCCTACCTGATCTATTGATCGGTCAACAATAAGTAGTTCACATGTTTCTGTTTGTGGAAATTCAGGTATCGTCGACTTATATCTGGCAAGGGAATTCCACACGGCAGCAGCAAGCTTTGTTGGGACCAAATCTCGTAGTGTCGTCAGAGTAGATGCATCGATTGTTCTGGCTACACGGTAGTGCACACGAGGAAATTCCTAGAATAGTTCAATATGTTCAGCTTTAGAAAACTTGAAATAAGCATTATGAATCAGCATTCCAGTTAGAAGAAAGTAAAATTGTAGTGATACTTCAGAGTCAAATTTATCCTGTTTTCAATCAATTTCCTTCAATGCATGATTCCATTCAGTGCAAAAACATTGCAGCTGATGTTCCTTGTTGCTAGTTTTTCTATGGTGGCAGAACTACTGCCAATCCAACACCATGTCACTTGTGTGTTGCAGTGTAAAATACTTTTATAGGCCGCAGGTTTCCAGAAATGATATACGATTAACATGTGACGTATGCTACTATATATGGACGATAAACAGCTATTGGAGAGAGGTCATGTCCGACAACTTGAGGTAGAACAGCAACTAGAACGAGGGAACTGGATAAGGGATGGATATAAAATAGCCTGTAAGAGGAAGATCACAGTAAGACTTTGTGAACTAGGAGACTTGCTTAATTTATCTTGCTTCCTTCTAAAGTTGTCTCCTCACAAGGGCCTTGGCCATAACAACCATATCTATCTTTACCCAAATAAAGAGTGTCATCTTATCACTAAACAAAGGACATAATAAGATTTCATCTCAATAAACAATAATAAAGCAAACTACGAGATATAACCCAAGGTACTACTCTGATGAGCCCTAACATGGCGCAAAGATTTTTCCAATCCTTATTCAGTGGCTGTACAATAATGCACACTATACATGATTTCCTCTTACAGCATAAAATCAAAACAAACATGAAGGTATGAAGACTCTACATACAGCATAAAATGGGAAGACAGTACCCTCAATGATGCAAACACTGTAGCAATTCTTGTAGCCATTGTGTTAAGGCATGCATTGTACTTGTGTGAGCCTTCTGCGTCTTCACTAAACAACTCCTCCAAGGCCTTGTCATGGTCAGTTATGAAGCCCTAGACACAACATTTAAGTATTATCAAAACTTCAAAATGAATGTTAAGAGAAGAGATAAATTCAGTTTCTGTTTGAAGTACCACTCTAACAGGTTCATAACAAATAGGCAATCAAAAAGGGTTACTACAAGCAGAAGTATCAAGTACCTGACTATCAATAGCAAAGTATTCCAAGTTCATCTGAAGCATGGAACAAAAGTCAGATATAGCATGAGTGTGAAGTTAAAAAGAATGAGCATGCAATAAATAGACGGTGGCCAAATAACCTCACTGAGTGCACTGATGCGAGCTAGTACAGTCGAATCCTTTTTTATATGAGCTACCAATTCCCTCTGTACGGGAGAACTGAAAAAAATATAAGCTCTGCACCAGGTTTCACATCATGCTATTAGTACTTAAATCTGTAACAGATGGCCACAAAAAAGTTTGTTTTGATCACATACTTCTTGTACAATGAATTTTTTCCTGACATGTCGGACATGAATATGCGAACACTGCATTATCACCACAAAAAATGGTTATAGAACTGGATGAACAAACCAAATTTCAACCTTTACCAGAGAAATACCAGGTACATATGCCACAGCAATCTACTGCCTTGTTGATTGGAACCAAATAGAATCTATTCTCCCAAAGTCACAAAAAAAAGAAGCTGTTCTCCCAAAATACATTCAAGGATAGCACCTATCAGTGTATAATATTTTAAATAATAAAAACATATTATATTTGAAATCTGTTTTATCCACCTAAAGATGATCGGAGGTGCATAAGGGACCAGCCCAAGTGATAAACTGGATCATTCATAATCATCAAGGACACAATGATGGAAGTCAAAAGTAAGACAAGAAAAATAACACACCACCCACATACTTCTGAAATTCTGATCATAATGCAGCACGGCAACATATAAAGAAAAAAGATCATACTGAGGTTACATAATTCTATTCTTAGGGAAGCATTTTATCTGTTTAAGTAAAGTTTAGCAAGATATGGTTTTAGCTTTTAAAAGATCACAGAACTACAGAGCAGAAGAGGCTTACAGGCTGACATAACCAACCACGTCAATGAGAATGAATAAGCAAAACTTACTTTTCTTTAGTAGGCTGCATGAAATAAATTGCATCCATTGAAGGCAATGGCTGCCTCCGTTTGTATAGGTCTTCAACCACTGCAAAGAGTTGCCAAGGCTGAACTTGTATGGTTGTATGTATATACAGTACTTCTGGTAAGAGACTGTAAAATTTCCTTTAGAAGAAAATGAATGTATATATTTGGTAGAAGTAAAAAAAACTAATGTTTCATGGAATTTCAAGGCTCCTATAATTTGCCAAAGGTAATTGTTAACATAAAGAAAATTGCAAGCAGAAAGCGCTTAACAGTTTCCATACCCCCCCCCCCACCACCGTTTCTCCATTGTTGGAGAATGGTCGGCTCGGCCGACCACTCCCTGTAGGGAGTTGGAGACTGATCGGCTCTGCCGACCAGCTCCTGTAGCTAGTAAGGCAGTAGGCCATAGTAGTAGTGGTTTACTTCAGCCATGAAGAGTAGAGATGGCTGAGCTAAGCTTTGTTACCTTAAGAGTAGGTAGTTGGTGTACCCTTATATCTTAGGAGTAGGTAGTTGGTGTACTCTGTACCTTAGGAGTAGGTAGTTGGTGTACTCTTGTACTCCGGTAGTAGGTAGTTGGTGTACTCATCAACAACTATGTACCTAGTAGAGGTACAGCTAGAGTTGTATATATTCTATCCAAAGGCAATACAGCAAATCAGTTCAGTTTGCCACATCCAGAAGCAGAGCTTTCGGCCAGCGCTGGGCTTGTGCTGTGTGTGTGTGAGCTTACCTCTAGCTATAGTGAGTGAGTGTGCTGCTTACCAGTGTAGGGCAGCCGAGGGACTAACAAGTGATATCGGAGCCGTACAAGCGCTGTCGTCGGACTAACCGCTGGCGATGACGGACGATTTGGAGATGGGCGACAGCAGCGGCGCTGCTGTGGCTGCATAGCCACGACAGGAGGTCGTCATGCGCACGGTGCGGGAGGTCAGCGGCACCAGTTGGCCGACGCTGACTCGCACCAACTATGTCGAGTGGGCGGTGACCATGAAGATCAGGCTCAGAGCCCGACGGCTCTGGAATGCCATTGACAAGGGCACCGACAACGAAGAAGACGACATGTCAGCGTTGGAAGCCATCCTTGCCGCTGTGCCAGCAGAGTACAGGGAGCCGTTGGGGGCGAAGAGCGCTGCTAAGGAGGTGTGGGAGGCTATTGCGGCGATGCGCGTCGGTTCCGACCACGCAAAGAAGGTGACGGCCCAGCTGCTGAAGCAGGAGTACGCCAACCTTAAGTTCAAGGATGGTGAGTCGGTGGAGGACTTCTCCCTCCGCCTGCAAACGCTCATCAGCAAGCTGAGGAGCCACGGTGTCACCATCGACGAAGAAGAGGCAGTCTTCAAATACCTCCACTCCGTGCCGGCGAAGTACATCCAAATTGCTCTCTCCATAGAGACGATGCTGGACTTGTCCACCCTCACCATTGAGGATATGACAAGCCGTCTGCGGGCGGTGGACGAGCGCATGGAGCAGGCCACAGCAACGACGGACAGTGGCAAGCTGCTGCTGACAGAGGAGTGGGCTGCCCGGATGAAGGAAAAGAAGTCCGGGGAAGCCTCCTCCAGCCGCGGTGGCGATGGCAAGCGCCGCGGCAAGGCTTCTTCGGAGAAGAAGAAGAAGGTCGATCCCAACGCCTGCCGACGCTGCGGGAAGACGGGCCATTGGGCAAAGGAATGCCCAAATCGCAAGCAGGAGAAGGCTGAGGCTCATCAGGCGCAGGCTGATGATGATGATTAGGCTACTCTACTGATGGCGACGTTCTGTGCCCTGCACGACGTTGAGGCCAAAGAGAAGGGAGAGGTGATGGCGGTGGAAGGGCCTGAGAAGGCTCTGAAGGCTGTCAACCTCGACGAACCGCACGACCAAGTCCACCTCAGACGTGTGGACAGCGAGGAGCGGCGGTGGTACCTGGACTCCGGCGCCAGCAACCACATGACGGGCTCCAAAGAAGCCTTCTCCGAGCTCGACGGCAACGTGACCGGCACGGTGAAGTTCGGTGACAGCTCAAGGGTGGCGATCCGAGGGCGCGGCACCATCATCTTCAGGTGCCAGAACGGCGAGCACACCGCGCTGACGGATGTATATTACATCCCGCAGCCGCGTTCAAGCATCATCAGCATTAGCCAGCTGGATTAGCGCGGCAGCGAGGTACTGATCAAGGGCGGCGTCCTCAGGATCAGGGACCGGGAGCAGCGGTTTCTTGCCAAGGTGAAGAGGCCCCGGAACCGGCTGTACCTGCTCGACTTGAAGGTGGAGCAGCCCATCTGCTTGGCTGCACGACGCACGGAGGAGCTGTGGCTGTGGCATGCCCGGTATGGACATCTCAGCTTCGACGCTCTTGGTCGGCTGGAGAAGATGGTTACTAGGCTGCCTCACATCGAGCACGCAGACGAGCTGTGTGACAGCTGCCTGGCCGGGAAGCAAAGAAGGCTGTCGTTCCCGAAGACGGCGAAGTACCACGCGGCAGAGGCTCTCGAGCTAGTCCATGGTGACCTCTGCGGGCCGATCACTCCAGCGACGCCCAGCGGGCGCAAGTACTTCATCTTGCTGGTGGATGACTGCAACCGGTACATGTGGCTGCAGCTTCTGACCAGCAAGACCGAGGCGGCAGAATCGGTCAAAAAGTTCAAGGCGCTCGCGGAGGTGGAGAGCGGCAAGAAGCTGTGCGTGCTGCGGACTGGTCGCGGAGGCGAATTCACTTCGGTCGAATTCGCTGCGTACTGCGCGGATCAGGGCGTGGTGCGACACCACACCGCGCTGTACTCGCCACAGTAGAATGGCGTGGTGGAGCGGCGGAACCAGAAGGTGGTCGGCATGGCTCGATCCATGATGAAGGCTAAGAAGATGCCGACGGAGTTCTGGGGAGAGGCGGTGACCATGGCGGTGTTTATCCTCAACCGCGCGCCCACCAAGGCCCTGAAGGGCAAGTCGCCGTTCGAGGCTTGGTATGGACGCAAGCCGAATGTGTCCTTCATCAGAACATTTGACTGCGTCGGTCATGTGAAGAACACCAAGCCTCACCTCGGCAAGCTGGAAGACAGGAGCACGCCGATGGTGCTCTTGTGCTATGAGGAGGGCAGCAAGGCCTATCGGCTTTATGATCCCAAGAGAGGCAAGGTGGTGATCTCTAGGGATGTGGTGTTCGATGAGATGGCGGCCTGGGACTGGGAGGGTCCAGGCACGGGGGAAGCTGGTAGCTTGAGCAGCACCTTCGTCGTCGAACACTTGGTCATCCACGGTGGTGGAGACGCTGGAGAAGAGGTGTCGACCACCCCAGGAGTGGTGCCAAGCGGTCCAGCAGCAATGCCAACCACTCCAGAGGGGGTGCCGAGCACTTCAGCAGCAGTGTCGAGCGCTCCAGCAGTGGAGCCGACCACTCCAGGAGTGGTGCCGACCGCTCCAGCAGTGGATCCGACCACTCCGGCAGTGGTGCCGAGCGGTCTAGCAGCGATGCCGACCACTCCGGCAGAACAAGGAGGCCAGGGGACACCTCCACTCGAGTTCACCTCCCCTCCGAGTGACATCAGCGAGTTCGTGGATGCCTTCCACGATGGCGAGGAGGTGCGGTTCCGCAAGTTGGACAACATCGTCGGCAATGCAGGGGCCTCAGGCCTAGCGAGTCGACTGCTCGACGACCCAGAGCTGCTCCTTGTTAGTGCCGAGGACCACCGACGTTTGCAGTGGCTGAACGCGACACCAATTGGCGATGGACGATGTTGGAAGAGATGAAGGCCATCGAGGACAATGGCACATGGAAGCTAGTAGATCCACCGGTGGGCTGCAGGCTGATCGGCTTGAAGTGGGTCTACAAGGTGAAGCGGGACAAGCGCAGCGCCATTGTCAAGTACAAGGCTCGGCTCGTCGCCCGCGGCTTCGTGTAGCGCGAGGGCATCGACTTCGAGGAAGTCTTTGCTCCGGTGGCGCGAATGGAGTCCGTTCGCTCGCTGTTGGCCATGGCAGCAGCGAAGGATTGGCGCGTCCACCACCTTGACGTCAAGTCTGCGTTCCTCAACGGCGAGCTCGCGGAGACGTTCTTCGTCAAGCAAGCTCCGGGCTTCGCCGTCAAGGGCGCTGAGCACAAGGTGCTCAAGCTGTGCAAGGCGCTCTACGGGCTGCGGCAGGCCCCTCGAGCGTGGAACGCCAAGCTCGACACCACCTTGGGCGAGCTTGGGTTCACTCGCTGCGCAACAGACCATGCGCTCTACACGCGGCGATGGGGATGGAGGAGCTCGTCGTCGGCGTGTACGTGGATGACTTAATCGTCACTGGAGCGCGAGCAGAGGACATCGACGGTTTCAAGCGCGAGATGGCGGCTCGTTTCAAGATGAGCGATCTCGGCGCGCTCTCCTACTACCTCGGCATCGAGGTGAGGCAGGAGAAACAGAGCATCTCCCTGGGTCAGCGCGCCTACGTAGAGAAGCTGCTAGAGCGCGGCGGCATGGCAGAGTGCAAGCCGTGCGCGACTCCGATGGAGGAGCGGCGGAAGCTGAGCAAGCACAGCACTGCTGCGAAGGTGGACGCGACGTGCTATCGGAGCATCGTCGGCGGGCTGTGCTACCTCACTCATACCCGACCGGACATTGCGTTCGCGGTTGGGTACGTCAGCCGTTTCATGGAGGACCCGCGCGAAGATCACTGGTCAGCAGTGAAAAGGTTTCTGCGCTACGTCAAGGGGGACACTCGATCAAGCGATCATCTTCCCCAAGAGTGACGGCAAGGGTGGGTTGCGGCTCACGGTGTTCAGTGAGGCATCCCCAAAGGCAAAGGAAGGTGAGCCGGAGCTCACTGTCTTCAGCGATACGGACATGGAGGGCGACATTGATGGGCGACGGAGCACCTCCGGCGTGCTCGTCTTCTTTGGAGCGGCCCCCATTGCTTGGCAGTCGCTGAAGCAAAAGATTGTGGCGCTGTCGACGTGTGAGGCGGAGTACGTCACAGCGGCCACGGCGGCGTGCCAGGCTGTCTGGCTGCGCCGGCTGCTGGGCGAGCTGACCGGCGAGGAAGCTCACCCGCCAGCTCTGATGGTGGACAACCAGCCCGCCATCGCCCTCGCCAAGAACCCTGTCCTCTACGACCGGAGCAAACACATTGACATCAAGTTCCACTTCCTCCAGGACTGCATCGATGGAGGACAGATCGTCATTGAGTTCGTCGAGACCGGCAGACATCTCGCTGACATCCTCACCAAGTCACTCGGACGCCTGCGGTTCATGGAGCTGAGAAAGATGATTGGCATGGATGAGGTCAAGGCATCGGATTAGCAGCAGGATTAGGGGAAGAATTGTAAGACATAATCTGCTGCCCCCCGTTTCTCCATTGTTGGAGAATGGTCAGCTCGGCCGACCACTCCCTGTTAGGAGTTGGAGACTAATCGGCTCTGCCGACCAGCTCTTGTAGCTAGTAAGGCAATAGGCCATAGTAGTAGTAGTTTACTTCAGCCATGAAGAGTGGAGATAGCTGAGCTAAGCTCTGTACCTTAGGAGTATGTAGTTGGTGTACCCTTGTACCTTATGAGTAGGTAGTTGGTGTACTCTGTACTCCGGTAGTAGGTAGTTAGTGTTGTGTGTGTGTGAACTGTTCTCAATATCTTCTTCTACGTCTAGCCATAGTGAGTGAGTGTGTTGGTAAGCTTACTGCTTACCAGTGCAGGGCAGCCGAGGGACTAACAGATACTACACAACTAATTCAGACTTAACTCTACTAATTTTACAGTTTGTCACAACAATTTAGTTCCATTAGAAACTACTGCAGTTTAATGTCAGTTTAGAATTATTATGGTTTCAGATAAATTGTACGCTTTCAAGTTTCAAGTATAAACTAGTTATACTCCAAACACCACATGATGCCAGCTCAAAGGTTTACACAAAAGAAACCATATTATGAACACAATCTGAGATACCATAAGAAATGCTTTAGAAGATAACAGAATTACTTATATTATTGTTATATAGATCTGAGATGTACTGTACAGATTTACTTTCATGTCTAGGTGCCACATTATTGAGTGTAAAAAACAAAATTCTGAACGATGGATACAACAAATATCTCATAAGAAATAGGTATATAACACACATAACAGAACATATTTAGATGAGTCTACTTACATGAAACCCCTTCTTCTGTGATATCTGCCATCTTGCATGAAAATGACATTATCTTGACCGTAAGTTTGTCCATGATTAGAACCTGAAATTCATGACACAATTTTATGTGCATGAAAATGGAACATCTGAAACTAGAAGATCATCTTCCTCCATTCTCCAAGAATACCTTCCACGTTGATTTTGAACTCTTCCGCGTCGATCTCAGCATCTCAAGTAACAAACCTATATGATTGCAACAATAATAAACAAACAAATGTTAATTTATAAATGTGGTAGCTTGTCTACAGTAAATAAAGAAGTGGTATCAGTAGGCCAAGATTTAGAGGCCCGCACCATATTAAGCTAAGTTGAATTGTGTACACACACGGAAATATAGGATCAGAAAAGAGAAGTGGTAAAAACAAAATGTGATTGTACAAAAACACATAAGAGTTCTAGGCAAATGGTAAAGATAAAACATGTGACAATAAAAATATACACAAGTTGCCAGCTATAAATTTTTATAAGTAACTATAAACAGTACTCTGATTCATATTTTTATATTTGAAAAATCATTGAATTGGTGGTCATAGGTGCTTTTACTGGAGATCCCTCTCCAAACTGTCAAAAGGCAAAGAAGGAAAATTTAAGGATTGGAGATTCTGAAACTGTGTGCAGTCTTGAACTCATGAAACCGTGCTGCAATAGCAATAAAATTATCTGATTGCAGGATCATAAAAGCTTTCCAACAATAATGCTAGCAATTGTATTCTTAATACAGGAAGCCAATCAAATCAACTGCAGTGCCTGATTACAATAAAGTGAATGGAAGTATTTCCAGTCATCCAGTGCACGCATGAAATGGAAAATAAAGTCATAAATATGAGCTCAGTCTTGGGCATGGAAGATGCATACAAACTCTATTGAACTACAACAGTGGTGTTGTGTCGTCCACAGCGCTAGTTCAATTCCACTGCAGTTTTTCACACTAAATATGCCTCCGTTGTGATACGGACACGAGCTAAACAATAAGTCCTAGTCCTAGCAACAACAACAAAAAAAAAATACTGTCCGTCGTCAACTAATTGTCCAAGCAAGCACATAAAAAAAAATACCAACATCGTATCAACATTTCCCAGGAATCAAAACCAATCTCCGTCCCCTCCCTCAGTCCAGACACAAGAGCAGAGACAGTGACCACCTCATCCCCACTAGCCAAGGATTAGTGGCAAGCTGAGAATGGGAACCGGACTTACGGTCTCGGGTGATCTGGCGGAAGCTCCTGTAGTCGGCGCCGCTGTGCGACGAGCTGTCCGAGTCCATCGACATGGCCAACGGAGCCCCCACTCCTCGCCGGCAAGCCCTCGCTGTAGGGTTAGGGTTCGCGGCCGCCTCCGGGACTCGAAATGCGGGCTTGCCGATTCGAGCGGAGGGAATGGTGAATGGTCGCGCGGTGAGGGAGGCCAAACGCGGAGGAATGGAATTTACGGGCAGTGGTTGCCGCTGCTGTGGGGGTTGGACGGGGTACTACAGTAACAAGGACAAGGAATCTGCTCGACCAGTTTTCTCCATTGGCGACCAGACGGGAGTAGTCGTGTGGTGTGGGGTTTTGAGTGGGTCTATGGCAGATGGTACCGCGACGCGCTGTTAGGTTTCTAGACCCACGCGTCATTGAGGCCTAGATCTTCGTGTGATGGACGGGGTGGGGTGCTCGGATGGTTCCAGAAGAGAAGCGCGGTTGAAAAGTTGAACGGAGGAAGGCCGAATGCGTGTTGAGCTGTTCCAGAAGGATGGAAGAGGAAAGAGGGTTTTTTTTTTCCTTCGGATGCAAGCAAACAGGCAGCGCGAGTGCATGTGATGCGGCTCGTTGTTTCCAAATTATTATGTTATCACATGGGGCCGTTCGCTTCTCTTATAATCTGTCTTTTTTATTTTGTTTTTTTAGTCGGAACAGTGTTTTTCTTTCACGACAAATCTGTCAGAACAGTGTTTCGGCTTTTTTTTCAGCGAAGCGAACGGACCATAGAAGTTTCTGTCTCATGTACACTTGATAGAAAGCCCATTTTATATATCGTGCACGACGTATCTTTATTAATTATGATCATATTTTAATCTATGGTGTAATTGACGTCCAGACGTATTGTCCGAGGGCTAATGTCAAAATAGGTTGTTCCACCCTATTAAAAAACTAATGTTTGCTAGCTATATGTCGTACAAACCGTTTATGTCATTTCGTGGTTAATATCCCATAGTCTCAAAAGAAAAAGCATATGTTTACAAGAGATGCGCTTATTATCACTCGTGGGCGTGTTTGGTACAGCTTATAAGCTGCTTATGGCCAAAATAAGTTGAAATCAATAGCCAAACGCCACGCTTTTCAGCAGCTTATTCTGGCCACACTTATTCCCACAGCTTCTATTTATACTTAAAAAGTAGAAGCTGGATCAAACTAGTTTATTTTGACCGTCGTTTTTACTCTATTTATCTGAGAACTGGGCCATTAGCATCTTGGCTCCGATTGGTGCACATCTTATCGAGTACCTCTCCATTTTGGAATATAGTAGATTAAAGAATTCAAACAATTCCCTATAATATAAGGGATTCTAGCTAATTAATTTAATAATCCTCCCCTGACCAAGTGGTGCTCATATAAATTCGACAACCATAGCTACCATCGTGGGTGGAGTTCTCAATATGGTAAGGTATGGTGCTCGTCACACTTCAAATTTCAAGCGTTTCTCACCTTCTTAATCACTCCGTACCATTAACGAATCAAGAAAAATGATGTTTTTGCTATAATGGAGTATCAACCAACGACCAAAGGAAGGAGAAAGCATCGAACCATCACCTAGACATTGTTTGAAGACACTATTCTTGAGCTACTCCTGGGGTGAACATGCTTACTTAGGTTATGTTGCGAGCAGTTATTGGATTCAGTTTGGGAATTTCAAAATAAATTGTTTTTAGTCCAAACCAAGTCCAATTTTAAATATATCTTCTGAGCTCGTTATCTCTCTAACTGTTACTCGTTTAATCTCGATCCTTAAATGAGAATCGTAGATGATGACGTGGTCAACAACTTTTTTATAGCATGCTCAATCCCAATCGTCCATACGGAAACAGACGTATGGAACCGTCCAAAACAACATGATGCAAAAACCGTTCGGTCAGGCTGACCCAAACCTAAAATAGATCATGGGTGATACTGTATCAGCATCCAACAGAATATATATATACGAAACCCATTTTGGGTTACAACAGAGGCACAATCCAAATATGAGTATCCTCTCTTCTGGAGACTTATTTGCAGAAAGGGTTCTCTTTTGGGTTCTGTTGTTGAAGACCAAAAATGGGTATTGAACCTTTTACCTGTAGCGCTACCCAAACATGGAATGAGTCTTGTATTTTGGATGATGTTGTTGAAGATAGTCTCAACTTCACCTGTCCACACTGTGGCGTCGCCCAGCCAGGAAATGTCACGTGGCTACGCCTTCCCTGCTCACCTCAACGCCGGTTAGCCAGAGCTCACGTGCTGAGCTCGACGCCGCCTCATGCCATCAGCCTCGCCCTTCGCGCCCCTGCCCTATGCCCGTTCTGTCTCGCGTCTTGTCGCAACCGCGACCTGCCCACGTGAAGAGGGTGAATAGCCTAATAAAATTTTCTACCAAGCACCAGAGCAACTTGTTAATCATAGCAATAAAGCGTTTTGCTCTAGCTCTACTAAAAATGCAAGTCACCTATCCAATATACTAGTGAATTATGATCTCTATGACACTCAATGGCTAAGTCACTACTCAACTAACTAGTGAGCTAATTAGATCAAGGATTACAACTAATTACTTCTAGCTAAACAACTGAGCTACACTAGCTAACTATAACTACAGAAGGCAAGAGAATAAATGTAATGCTCAAGTGAGGAATAGAATTATACCGAACCGGCAAGAGATAAATCAATCAAGAATAATTGACACCAAGATTTATCCTAATGTTCACTTGCTTGCCGGTAAGCTACGTACTCGTTGTGACGACACACTCACTTGGTGGTTCACCCGCTAATAGGCATACACAAGATTTCTCAATAATTCAAACAATTCCCAATAATGTTAGGTATTCTAGCTGATTCATTTGATAATCCTCCTCCCGACCAAATGATGCTCATCTAAATTCATCACACTTCAAATTTTCAGCGATTCTCACCTCCTAAGTCACTCTGTATCATTAACGGATCAAGAAAAATGATGTTTTTTCCTGCAATGGAATATCAGCCAATGGCCAAAGGAAGGAGAAATCATCGAACCATCACCTAGATACTGTTCCTGGGCTGCTCCTGGGGCGAACATGCTTGCTTAGGTTATGTGTATGGCTTTGCTAATGTGTTGAAACAACACTAAATTAAATGACAAATAACTTTTATTTAAGTTTCATATGCTTGTTGTTAAAAGAAAATAACAAGATATGTAAAAGTAATAAGCTTTCTTATATTTGTCGACTGCTTGTTTGGGAGTTATTTAAACCAAGTTTTATTAAAACGCTTCAAATTTTCTCAATATGGAAAGTGTAGTGCAAATCTCAAACTATGACATAGCACAAAAGTTTGGGCTTGGTTTGGACTAAATTATTTTAAAGTTTCCAAACTGAATCCAATTCTGAAATTCCTTTCGCACTTCTTTTTTCTGACTCCTATTTTCTACTGACGTCGCTATGTTGGTAGGCCGTGTTCTCCTGTTTGTTTGAGTGTTTGACCATGATGTTTTAAGCAAAGTTGCAGTCAATGCTTAGTAGATGAACCTTGCTACAGTTGGAAGGTCATTAGGGCAGTTTTTGACACCGTAAACCGAGCCTTTAGTAGCCTAAACTGCGCACTGTCATGGCTGAATCTGAACCCAGAAAACAGCATGACGAACCTATTTTCTGAGCTATCTCTCTAACCGTTGCTCGTTTAATCTCAATCCTACTTAGATTGGAATGATGGTGAGGAGGACAGGGAACGTGGGGGTAACGAAACGTGCAATGCATTTTGAAGAAGACAAGGAGGAGGTCAAATTTGCCAAATAATAAGTTATATAGGTGTTTCAGAGGGAAAGCATGGAAATTAGAGAAGTTAAAGCTCATCTCGATGCTCATTCACCGTTAACATGGATAGTTATTCGAGTAATAGACATCCCTTTTAGACCAAATTCGAGGTTGTTGACGCCGGATTGATCTAGGATCACACATCAGCTAGGGTTAGAAACCAATCGATTTAAAATAAATTAGGAAAACCGGCCTCGCCGGTTTCCACGGGGGCGGGCAGCCACACAGCCAGGCAACCTGGCTGGCTCTGCTACACCCAAACCAGCCTAGCCGGTTCCAGGGGTGGTTCTGCTGCACGTCCAGGGCAGAACACCTTCCGAAAATCGCAATTAGTTCATTCGGACTTTAAATATGGCGAAACATATATGTTTTTTGATCAACTCGAAAGGAACGCAATGATGCAATCTAATCTTACATTTGAGGAACTTGCCCAAACCAACCTAGCCGATTTGGGAACTCGCTAGGCCGGTTCCGACTGGGTCAGCACACCCAAAATGTTGTTTCTTCGTCCGAGCTCCGAATAGAATGATCCAAATATATTTTCTGACTGTCTCGACAATAGAAACACGATGGCGGAGTCCATTATACATTTTGGCCACTTTTGGTTATCAACAGAGACCAAAATGGATGTACTACAAAATAACATAAAAGTTATAGATTGAATGCCTAAAAAATATCTCGTACTTAAGGAGCATGTGAGGGCGTATGTTTCTTTCCATTGCACTATGCAAGTAAACACTTTACATGGCCACTGTTTTATATGGTGTGAAGAACAGGTTAATAAGTATGACTCGAGTGTTTTTTCTATATCAAGATGTCACGTATGAATTTAGTTTTAGTAAAGCAATTCTTTGATTTGACCGTTTGAGAGCCCTAATTTGGTTTTGCCTAATTGATGGAAATATATTAGACTAACCCTTTGTGAGTTAGGGTAGTCCAAATCCAAGTGGTGGGGCAAGACGGCACTCGAGGTGATGGAGGTGGCCAAAAGATGGATTAAGTGCTCCAACTTAGAAAAGAAGAAAGAAAAAAATAAAAATAAGCTCAAGACAAATTAAAGGTATACTTGATAGAGCTATTTTTGTTTTGTAAATCATAGTGTCTCACCCGGTTTTAAGAACAAAATCAGATACACACTATATGTGAGTCCAGGAAGTCAAATCTCACATATAGCTATAAATAAGGGTAATATCAATAGACAATGCTAAATATATAACGTACTTAGTATAAAGAATATAATCTTAGATAGCAAACAC